GGTGTACTGATTCCTTCTTACTTCCCTTCATTCCTTCCTTTCCACTTTCTTTCATTCCTTCCTACTTCCCTTCATTCATTCCTTCCTACTCTCATTCATTCCTACCTTCTTACCTTCCTACTTAGGGAAGTAGGAATGAAGGAATGAAGGTCATTCCTTCATTCCTTCCTTCCTACTTCCTTTCATTACTTCATTCATTCCTTCCTATTTCCCTTCATTCCTTCCTTCCTTTCTTCATACTTTCCTTCATTCCTTCATTCCTTTCTTCATACTTCCCTTCATTCCTTCCTTCCTTTCTTCATACTTCCCTTCATTCCTTCCTTCCTTGTTTCATACTTCCCTTCATTCCTTCTTTTCCACTTCCCTTCATATTTTTCCTCCTCCGAATTTCGTTCCTTAATTTTTCCCGCTTTCCATCCTCCCCTCTTCCACTTCCCCCTTCGTTCTCCCCCAGTTCCCACCATTTGTGTCCCCCCTCCCCCCCTCTCCGCTAGTCCTCCATTTGAATACAAACTCAACTGACACACCGACGGTATACATACACACATACATGTGTGTGCTGTGTGGCCATACATGATACCCGTCTGTATGCCGACATCTGTGTGATGTGTGGCAATACATGATACCCGCCTGTATTCCCACATCTGTGTGGTGTGTGGCCATACATGATACCCGCGGCCCCGCCTGTATGCCCACCTCTGTGTGCTGTGTGGGCCATACATGATACCCGCCTGTATGCCCACATCTGTGTGGTGTGTGGGCCATACATGATACCCGACTGTATGCCCACGTCTGTGTGATGTGTGGCCATACATGATATCCGCCTGTATGCCCACGTCTGTGTGGTGTGCTGTGCAGTGTACTCATTGCTGGGCACTGTACCTACGCCGTGCTGTGCAGTGCAGTATATGCTGTGCTGTGCAGTGTACTGTGCGATGATTGAAAGTCTTACGATCGTCATAAATTCAGCGATTGTGATTGGCGGGCCTTGGTTCAAATGCGGTGCTGTGATTGGCTGTTCCAAAACCCGTAACGCCGTGCTGTGCAGTGCAGTATATGCTGTGCTGTGCAGTGTACTGTGCGATGATTGAAAGTCTTACGATCGTCATAAATTCAGCGATTGTGATTGGCGGGCCTGGGTTCAAATGCGGTGCTGTGATTGGCTGTTCCAAAACCCGTGATTTGGTCAGATAAGATCTCGTGCTTTAACTTCCTGGCAGGTTTAAGTTTCATGTCTTTTTTTTTAGTTTACATGAGAAATAAAGTTCAGGAATTTTTCCGGGTATGCTTAATTTGTTTTACAAAAAGCTTGTCACATCGCGTGAAGTTCTTAGTCATGAAATAATTCACGTGCAAGGAAAGTATTTCTACTTTGTTTACGTATCTGTTTGAGAAATTGCTAACCTTAAATATTCCTTTGCGTCAGAGAAAAGCATTTTTCCCAAACTGTTCTTACGCGTTTGATTTAAAAATTTTCCCCAAACTGTTCTTACGCGTCAGAGAAAACATTTTCCTCCAAACTGTTCTCACTCATCAGAGGAAACCATTTCCTCCAAACTGTTCTCACTCGTCCGAGGAAAACATTTCCTCCAAACTGTTCTTATGCGAGGAAAACATTTCCTCCAAACTGTTCTCATACGTCAGAGGAAAACATTTCCTGCAAACTGTTCGTACGCATCAGAGGAAAACATTTTCTCCAAACTGTGCCTACGCGCCAGAGGAAAACATTTCCTCCAAAGCCCAAACTCTATTTTCGCGTCAGAGGAAAACATTTTCCTCCAAACTGTTCTTACGCGTCAAAGGAAAGCATTTTCTCCAAACTCATCTTACGCGTCAGAGGAAAACATTTCTTCCATACTGTTCTTACGCGTCAGAGGAAAACATTTCCTCCAAACTGTTCTTACGCGTAAGGAAAACATTTCCTCCAAATGTTCTTACGCGTCAAAGGAAAGCATTTCCTCCAAACTCATCTTACGCGTCAGAGGAAAACATTTCTTCCATACTGTTCTTACGCGTCAGAGGAAAACATTTCCTCCAAACTGTTCTTACGCGTCAAAGGAAAACATTTCCTCCAAATGTTCTTACGCGTCAAAGGAAAGCATTTCCTCCAAACTCATCTTACGCGTCAGAGGAAAACATTTCTTCCATACTGTTCTTACGCGTCAGAGGAAAACATTTCCTCCAAACTGTTCTTACGCGTCAGAGGAAAACATTTCCTCCAATGTGTTCTTACGCGCCAGAGGAAAACATTTTCCTACAAACTATTCATACGCGTCAGAGGAAAACATTTCCTCCCAACTGTTCGTATGCGTAAGTGGAAAACATTTCCTCAAAACTGTTCTTACGCGTCAGAAGAAAACATTTCCTCCAAAGTGTTCTTACGCGCCAGAGGAAAACATTTTCCTCCAAACTATTCTTAGGCGTCAGAGGAAAACATTTCCTCCAAACTGTTCATACGCGTCAGAGGAAAACATTTCCCCCAAACTGTTCTTCCGCGTCAGAATATTACCTCCCCCATCCCTGCTTTAGTTCCCCCCGCGCAGAAATTAAACTGCCGCCGTCCATGCGCAACAGTTAGTGATGACTCAGCATTGTGGTCTCACTGATTCCCATCAATGAGAAGAGCCTCAGCATTCCCACCAAGCATTCCCAGCCACACCACACACCTGCCGCCACATTCCAGTGTGGCGTTTTTGCCCCTGCACGCCTCGTCTATTTTTGTTGTCGCTCTTTTGTTGCGCTTCCTCTGCCCCTTCTCGTTTATTTTAATGCGCTATTTCCATAGTGCATAATGCGCCTTTTCCATAGCGCTTATCTAACAGCCAAACTGCCGCGTGTGGGAAGCGTTCATGTGCGTTGCAAACGCTCATGTCTACGCGTTACTGTACACACGCTATGTGAGCTAATAGAACGATACGCCACGAAAAGTTTTATGTGTATGCGTACATGAATGTACAGTACACGTGTTAAGGTATTTTCTGAGTTATTCGCCATTGAAAAATATTGCTATAGAAAAAATAACTGTCAAGTCACATGTCATTAAAAACGAATGATCCGTTGATTATAGTTTGAAAATAGAATATTGAATAAGTGAATAAATAAATATTAACTGAACTTAGTTAATGTAAGACGTCGTGCGGCAACGAAATGATCGACGCTCACGATGCGTGTGCGTTGACATCGACGGTACCGTCAGTTATAATTGTGTGCGTTCCCAGTCGCTGTGCACGTTGCTCAACTTGTGTATGCATGGTTTGTGTATAGCTATGAGCTCATGAGAAGTGCCCCATGACAAGTACCTGAAGATGCAATAAAACGTTTATCCATTTAATATGCAACTTCCAAGGTTTCGATAACATTTTTTGCGATTTAATCTGCTTCATGTTATCTAGAATTATCGTAATTGCAGAAGACATATTTTGATAAAAAATGTTTAAAACAAAAGTAATTTATCAAATATGTGAGGTAAATGAAAGGATATACTGAATCAGGGACGAATATTTTATGTAGACGATCTCCGATAATCCACATGGACTGATAGATTGGATTATAAATGCATTTTATGCATAAACATATCAGGAGCAACAAAGAGATTACTATAATGTCTCATAATACTATATATTTTGAACAAATAGCTCCAAATTTGTGCTTAAATATTTGTTTAGCAAGTTACCGCATTTAGATTCGTCGTTAAGTAGCAATGCTTGTTGAGTTTGACGTTACCGCTTCCATATGATGCTGCTGTTGTGGATGCAGTGGCAGTAGTAGGCCCGGAAAGTCAGTCACAAATTTTCTAATCCATTTAATATTCTAATGCACTTTAATAGAATAGCCCATCATGACATAGTAATTGTTGATATGTTGCTGAAGGACATTTTAATAATTTAATGCATAAAATACAGTTATTAGAAAAGTAAAATGACCTCTTCTCGCCATCTGACTCTAGGTCTTTTTGTTTTGCTTCTTGTTGACGTCATCTGGGTTGCGTCGTCTGAACTTTCTGAGGTTGGTATTTTCATCATGTGACTTCTGCAAAAGAAATTTGTAAGGTGATTTGGGACTTTTAGATGGAACCTATGTATAAACACAATTTTTTTGTTTGGGTTGTTGTAAGTTTAGAATTTGACTTTAAGAGTGTTGAGGAGCAATTTTATAAACTTTCTGTACCTATTACTATTAGGTAGTACTGTTCTGATCAAGAACTTTTTTTTTTATCAACAACACACAGTTTGCCACTTAGCCAACAGCATAGTCTAGGCTTTTAAGTAAAAATAACATCAAAATAGTTAAATAACTGACCAGAAGTACTTTTTTGATGTTAGGAATAGGAACTAAATAAGATTAGGACATAGATCTGTTAAAGTATTAGGTACTAAATTTATTTCCATCCTAAATTCTGTGAAAGAACTATATTGTTTCTGTTGAAGGCTAACAACTGTAAGTATTAATTACTGAGCCTCTGAGGCAAGCTAGTAGGTATTTGTCATTTCCAGTACCTAAACAAAATTTTGTGATTTTAAAATCAGATTGTGATCAGAAGATGCAATTCTGAACACATGTGCTGGACTTTCTAGAAACTGGTTCAGAAATAAAAATAAGATATGTTGTTTTGATAGGATACTTTTTTATACTCATATATTCCTTAACTATAATAGCCTATATGAATGTCTAATTTGTTTTCTCAACTTTGAATTCTTTTGCAGTATGTCTTCAAAGATACCGGCTTTAATAAGCCATTTTTCAGCACCTACTTCAAAACCAGCCTGTTCTCCATCTATCTTTTGGGCTTCTTGTTCTGGCCACCATGGAGGAAGCAATGTTGTCAGCAGCAGCCCAATCTACAGTAAGTCAAAGCATGGATTAATTACTTCAATCAACTCATTATTTATGAAAATTTTATAATTTTAATTTATCAGAAATACTTGATGGCCACTTCTATTTGCAATAAATCTTACATAACAATAAATGAAAATAGAGTATATATATAGATGTGTGAATGGTGATTATAATTTTTACACAAAGGAATAATATCTTGAAAGACTAAAGAGTGAGAATGTAATCAACTTATTCAATCCTATCAATTTATTTTTTTTTTCATTCATAATCAAAAAATTAGTTCTAAAATTAACAATTAAATTTTTTTTTAAATTAATATTCTTCACAGTTGATCTCCTATATAATTGTCCCAGGTTACAGGTCACTAGAAATAAATTTGCAATTTTATTTGTAGGTACTCCAGATTGCGCAATTCAAGTTCAGAAGAAGGGGTGCAGGAGGGGCAAGAAGATAATGTCAGTGATGATGGTGACAACCCCAGGCTTGTGAGTTACTATTCTATTATATTATCAGTTTATCACCATTATCACACTCAACTCATTGCAATATATTTCAATCTTTAAATATGTGTTATGCCAAAAATGCCTTCATCAGCAATTTTTAACCCTTTCACGGGTAAGTTACCATATATGATCACTTGAAATCGCGTCACAAAAAGCCTCACCACGGCTTCCTGTTTGTTTTTGAGGCATCCTTATAATGCCTCAGTCAATCATTCACACATTTTTCTTATTAAAACTGAAATCTATTGACTATCATTGTCTGACGTTTCTGACTCTTCTCTGTCTAGAGTTCCCCACAGTTTGAGCCTGTGAAAATCCCAGGGTCAGACAAGAACTCTGATGCGGAGGAAGAAACAGCCTCTGGCAGGAGTGTCCGCTTCAGTAGAGTGGCTGAGGTTAATTTCATTCCATGTATGCAATGTTTATACACTGGAAACTTGAATAAGTTACCTTGCATTGACTACCTGGTATTCTATGTATTTTGATAGCACATTGAGTGTCATGTAGATGGAAGTATATTGTACAAATTCTTATGTTGAAGTGCTTCTCAAATAAAGTTAAGTTGAATGGAATACCCATAATGGGATTTTGACATAGTGCATAGGTATTCATTTTCTCATGCCTCATTACTACTGTTTGACTCGGAGCATTATTCTTGTTTCTCATATCAAGTAACTTCTTCTCATACTTAGTGACTCCAATTTCAAATACTTTTCAACTTCTTTTTGTTATAGTTTACTTTCTATACATGAATCTTATTTTGTTTTGATGCCTTTTTTCTAGGTATGTTATAATAAGCAAAGTAATTCAATTGCAGGTTCGGCAGTTGCCTGACGCTGATGGTGCAGAAGCTCTGCTGTCTCGTCTGAGCTTCTCAGCATCACTGAGGGCACAGCAGGAGCTCTACAACCTTCACATTGGGCTTGCAGTGTCAGCTGTTGCTTATGTTGCCTTGGTTTTCTGCCTCCTGGTAGGTTTATCATCTTTTTACTTCTAAATTGTGTTTACTTGTTATAAAAGTGAGGCGGGAATGAGAGAGCTCGCAGGTGTAATTTTAGATCGATTTTAAACATTCAATAGTTCATCCAATATTGGCTTATGATTTCATATAACTTGCAATTGATGAGTAGTAGTTTAATTTTGATAAAGTAGAGAGAATGAACTGGAACCTATTTTTTTAATTAACCTCAGCAATAATTCTTATGTTGGCAGGACTTGATTTTCCCAATTTTATTGATATTTTATACACATACTCCCAGCGTACTACATACAATTTATCTCTAATTGTTTTAAATCTTGGGTGGTTCAATAACAGTGTTCAATGTTTGACAATAATGTGAATCACTCGTGTTGTTCACAGGACAATAAATGTTAATTTATTGGTTTTGAGTGCAGTGGTTCCTTGGCAACTACAGCTACCAGATGGCTCTCAGCATCTCCCACTCCGGCATCATCAACGTTGTGTCCTCAACTTCAGGTGACCAAGAAATCCCCTCCTTCCAAAACTCTGAGAATTATTTGACATTTCTTCATGGTTATGATAGCGAATTTCTATATCTCATATAAAATTTGATAATCTTGTTGCAATGTTTTTCTTGTATAAGCAGTTAGTTGAATGTTATGTACTGCAGAGCTACTACATCTGTCCTAAAACTATATAAGAGTATTTATGTACTTCTTTCATATATACCTGAGCGCAGTTTTATTCCACTTAATAGTCCCATGTTTATAAATTGAATTTTTTGACATACCTAATATTCGTTTTGTAAATACAGTATTTTTTAATAGTTCCTGACAGAGATAGTTCAATGCAATACTCCATCTGAGATCCACTCATGAAATGCTCAGCCATTTAAATCCTAATTTTTTTATTGAAGATTGTCCAAATCAAACATCCCTTATTAAAATTAAAGTAAGTCTAGTGATCTGAAATGGGCTGAATTTTGTCTAAGTTTCCTCATATTTTTCAGGTCTGTTCACCCTGATTTTGGCCGCAGTGTTTCCTTCTGCCTCAGGCGATGCCTTCACCGTATCAAAGCTTCTCACGGTGCTCCTTATGCTCGCTGGCGTTGTAAGTATCACATTCAATGATAGTACATATATGTGATGATTACAAAATGATAAAACACTGATGGAAATTCATTAGGTCTTCCTATATTATCCCAGCATCACCCATTTCAGCTATGAGGAATACCTTTATTATTATATGCAAGACCTAAAATTGTTAAAATTGTGGCAAGGAATATACTGCAGGAGATAGCATGCTATTATTGCTACTGGTTTGTTGTACAGTTTGAGTGCTGCTCAGACTTGCCGTGGTTTCCAGGAGACAATGCGTCGTCCCGCGCGTCCCTGAGAGGGAATTGTTCCATAACTTTTACTGTAAAATTGATCTTAAGTCAAAATCTTACAAGTGGTCGTCTATTTGATGACTCAGGCGGTGGCTGTGGCAGCTCAGGTAGAGGATATGGTGGCTGTGTCTGCTCAGGCGGTGACTGTGGTGGCTGTGGTAGCTCAGGTGGTGGCTGTGATGCCATAACCTTCCCTCCTAAACTCTAACATCAGCTCACCACTTTCCAGATGATGGTGAGCCTTGAGGACTACCACCAGCACGGCGCCTCCGTCCCCCCTGCCGCAGACGCCCCCCAGCAGCCACTCTACCACCTCCACCGCCACCACAGAGCCCTTAACTCTTCCTTCCTCCCCTCAGCCTCGCCCCCGCTGCTGGGGGAGTATACTGAAGATCCCTTCACTCTGGGGACCACAAGTACGATTCTAATTTAAATGTATACCGTCAATGGCACATAAGTCGCCACTATGCAGATCCCTAGTCGCCATTCAGTAGATCCCTAGTCGCCACTCAGCAGATCCCTAGTCGCCAAGTTAACGATTTTTACCTGATTTTATCTTATACTTGGAATATTGATGTTATAATTAGAGAGCATTGCAATGAGCATTCAAAGGCGTACATAATTTATCTCGAAATATAACTGAGCTTTTCCTGCAGCAGGAACTGTGGGGAGCCTTCAGGCCTTGCTTTCTGCTGGGGACACGAACGCCTCCTCCTCCGCCACGCCCCCGATTGGTCGTGGTGATATGTCTGGTGGTACTGGTGGTGGTGACGACATTCTTATCGATGGTGGTGGTGGAATTGGTGTTGATGAAGGCAGTGGCATTGGAGATGGTGAGAGTGGTGGCGGTGATGGTGGGAGTGGTGGCGGTATTGCAGGGGTGTGGTGGGGGTTGTGTGGTGCGGTGGTGTATGCCTGCTACATGGTCTTCATACGGCGCACCGTGAAGCGGCAAGAGGACCTCAACTTCACCATGTTTTTTGGTGAGTAACATGAGTGCTGTGACGTTCGTCTTCCTGACGCTGCTCACCCATCACGACAACTGGGACCCCGTGGGGGACTGCTGCTGGGGGAGGCTCTTCACACGCGGGTGCTGCCTCTATCTTATCACCATCATTAATATGTTATCAGTATCACTAGTATTTTATTGTTATCGTCAATATTTTATCAGTATCGTCAATCTTTTTTCTGTATCATTTATATGTTGTCAGTATCATTAGTATGTTCTCAGTATCAATAATATTCTATCTGTATAATTAATACGTTGTCAGTATCACTAAAATGTTATTTCATTGTTACGTTATCAGCATTTTTATTATGTTATTAGTACGCATGATTAATATGATTTAAGTATAATTAAAATGATGTTTGTTTCATTAATTTGTTACGAGGAGTTTCTGAATTTATTGCTGATTGACTCCTAGAAGAAATAATCTTTTTTTGAATACGTGAGTTTTCTGTTCATAGTTAAATAAAATTTTTAATCTGAGATATGATGAGGATTTCTTGATCCAAATAATGAATGGGAGGCGGGCATATCATTGCCTGTAAATATTTAATTTCGTCATAACAGGATAATTGTCTTGCGAGAAACAATAGGAAAAACTTTATTTAATACCAATTAATTGCAATGAATTGAATTTCAACATAGGTAGTGCCACCAGGCTGTATTGTTAGGCTGAATATTTGGAAGATTTTAAGGCTCGTGTTCATTCAAAGTTGCTTGAACTGATTACTTACATGCTCGCCTGCACCTTCAGGACGTCCGTGCCTTTGTTGATAATACCTGCATTCCTTGTATCCTTGCCTGCTAATTTACATCCTTCTTCAGGAGGTCTTCGCCTTCGGTGGAGGCTGAGGGAGAGTCTGCACGTCTCATGCTGCCCTCTGAGGACGACGACGACGACGAAGTCGAGGCCTTCACGGCCTCCCCGCCTCCTGCTGAGAGGGACGAGGGCTTGGCAGGGCCTGACGATGTAACAGAGGCTCGTGTGGATGATGGCCTCTTGCCAGCAGTTGGGGTTCCCCTGGCGGCCTCACAAGATCACACGAACCATCACGGAGCTTCGCTGAGGCCCTCACATCTCCATTTGGCCTCACAGCAACTGATGAATCATCGAGAAGCCCCACAGGAGCCGATGGAATTCCTTCCGGTCTCACAAAACCTGATGGACGTGTCGCCGCTGGTGGCCTCACGGCCAGTGGACACGCAGTTTAAGGCTGAGGCCATGCAAGCTTTGAGTGAGTCTCAGAAGTTCTCAGGCCAGCAATGGGCCTCACGTGTGTCTGCTGGTCACGAGCTGCAACAAATGCAACATGGCGAGAATTTAAGTGCCTCAAATTGTCCTACAAATCCTGCAGAGTCAACAGCTCGGTCGGGGGCTGAGCACAGCAGTATGGACAATGAAGATACTAGCCATCGCAAGTCCTTTAACCCAAGTACCCATATTATTAGCTCTTCCATATATCGTTCTCAAAACTACGCTGAACATGCACCCAATTCGTCAGCAACCACACGGGCTTCGGACAGCTCTTCATCCGTATTTTTAAGCTCAGTTTCTCTACTCAATGATAACCAGCCACATGCTAATATTTATCCAGGAAACTTTAATCAATATTCTGGTAATTCCGAATTTAGTGTCAATGATCACACACAGAAAAATATGCAGCACAATAATACCAAAACGGCGCCGAAAAGTTCAGCGCTGGGCAACGATATGTTCCGGTCAGCTCCTCTAAATACTGGACAACCAGGCGAACATGATACAAGAATAAACGATTCAGAAAATATACGAAAGTCGGAACAGAATTTTTCCATCGTGTCGCATCAAGATCAAAACAAGTCGGAAGAAATTACACAGACGACCGCAAAAAAGTCTTCCTCTGAACTACCATCAAACTTGAATAAATTTCCCTACAGTGAGAAAGTTGAAAAAACGAGTGCATCACTCCGACCGGAAACTCTATCAAACTTGGACGTATTTTCCAAGTTTTCAAACACACATAAACCAGATAAATTACCGAGGCAGGAAGAGCCTTCCAGTGCTGCGCTGCAGTCTGAACGATCAGCACCAGATTTGTACGACATCAAAGGACATTTGGACAACGAGACATCCTCAGTCACAGAGAGCAGCATCAATAGTCATTTCAGTAGAGTTAATGGTTCTTCGCAGTCGAATTTTAAACAGAACAAATTCCCTAAATCTGATGCCAACGGAAACAGTTGCGCCAGCAGCCCTAGGAGCCCAGTTGGTAGGCTTACTGCAGGCTCCTCAGGACCTGAACCGGTGTCAGTTCCACTGAAGGAAGGGCGTAGGTCAGCTAACCAGCTGCTGTCCTCCGTCAGCCTGACGGACGACGAGGCCGAGGTGCCAATTTTTTCCAGAGCGCCGCCGCGGCCCTCAGGAGGCGGCCGCCCCCCGCGGCCATCAGAGGGCGGCCGTCCCCCGTGGCCATCAGAGGGCGGCCACCCCCGGCGCCCCCCTCACCGGTCCGCTCGGTTCTACGACGAGCCTGACGAGACACTCGAGATCGTCCAGCTTGAGGATAGCAACGAGATAATCACATCGCAGTTTACTACTTATGCCGTGTGAACCCTGGTTCAGACGGTTCGGTTCACCCCTACGTCTCGTGAACCCTGGTTTCGACGGCTCGGTTCACCCCTACGCCGCGTGAACTCTGGTATCGACGGCTTGGTTCACCCCTACGCCGCGTGAACCCTGGTATCGACGGCTCGGTTCACCCCTACGCCGTGTGAACCCTGGTATCGACGGCTCGGTTCACACCCTACGCCGCGTGAACCCTGGTGTCGACGGCTTGGTTCACCCCTACGCCGCGTGAACCCTGGTATCGACAGCTCGGTTCACCCCTACGCCGTATGAACCCTGGTATCGACGNCAGTACACCTAATGATAGTTGAACTATCCACGGGCTTGTCCTACAGGCCCATTGATGCTTGTACAGTCAACTCCATCCTCTAGTCTTACTTCTAGTTGCCAATTTTCTTCTTCCTCTCTCATGATGGAATCTTATTTACTTCTGTCAATATTACTACGCATTTTGCAGCTTTCTGCTAAGTATATACATTCCAGCAGTGAGCCTTATACTATCATTTCAGGGTTAAGTTATTATCTCACGTGAACCATCCTTCAATATTTAATTGTTATCAAGCTGTCGTCACATTAGCCATCCTTTCATAATTAATTGTTACCAAGCCATGTTAAGACCATCATGGACACTTCTAGATCGTGTTAGGACCTCTTAAGTGGCTATTGTTTGTAGCTTTATTTAGGAATATTTAAATAATCAAAATACCATCTGTAATTACGCACATTAATGTCGATTTGTACAGGAGAAATCAACTAAATGACCTCCAGAAGCCCTCTCCATATAGCCTCCATGAGCCCACTCCGTTTTAGCTGAAGTTTTGTAAACGTGTGCGCGTTATCTACACTTGTATGATGCAAATCACAAATCTTGATATTTCGATAGAAAATATTCACACAACTTAGATTGTTCGCGTCAGATTACCTTCAATATCCAATGTTGAAATGAACGTTAAACCTACATGGGAGTTNTACTAGACCACTTATAAACAGTAAATGTACTGTCTCTTATACACATCTAGATGTGTATAAGAGACAGACTTATCGCGACTGTTGATTGTTTAGCTGCAGGGCCTGCGTCTTGCATTTTAATCAAATGTCCTGCAATTAACTGGAATGTTTAGGTAGGTTTAGCGTTAATAATGTGGAAGCTAATATGTCGGTAAGAGTAACGGATGGCTTGCAAATGATACAGGTAAGAATAACATTATAGATGAGGTTGATGAACTTAGTGGAGTGCTATGTTAGATCTACTCAATATTCTATAAATAATATCGCTGTAATTAATATTGTTTCATCAGGTTTTAAATGTATCTATTGTAAATTTATATTCTGATGTGTAGTGGGAAAATTTTATGTTGATTTTTTTTGCCTGGAAAATGACTTTAGTTAAAAAATGGAAAGCTTTTTCTATTTGTAACGTTTGCGTTATTTCAACGGTCCTTGAGTTGACTTTTAGAAATTATCAATGAAATTTAATGTCTAAGCATTCGTGAATACAAATAGAATCTGATCACACCGATTATCTTGTACCTGTGCCTGTTTTGCATACATTATATTGGCGTAAGATGTATGAAGAGTGCAGACGTAATAACCAAAATGGAACTTTCGGAAATGTTTTATCCACGTGACTGCTGTGCCATGTGATCTTTATTCTTATTTTTCTAATTTGTTATTCCTATATTTTTACTGATAATTTATTACAAATGAAAGGTTATTAGTGGAAAACAGGTTCAGGGCTCATGCTTGCTCCGCTTGGAACCAGAAGATGGCTGCAAGTTTCTAGTCAGTTGAGTGCTACTTAAGTTCATGCAATGATGCATATTAAATCATAGTATCATGCTTTGTCTAATTCTCCCTGGACTAAGATGGTTAATTTACCTCGGCTCTCGAGGTAGTCCTTGATCGTGCAAGTGTCCATTTGCGCTGGTGCTTTGCACGCACTATCGATTGTCCCCTTCAGAGTTAAATACTTTTTCGCTGAGGTTAATCAATTGATAGGTAATGATTGTTTCTTTATATATGATTGTGCTAAAAAATTTGCGAGTCCTCACAATACTCCTACTTACTGCAGTTGGTTTTTTAAAACAGCTTGTTGTAAAACGTTCTTCCGTGAATTTTCCTTTGCATTCTTTATGGATTCAATTTATTTAAATCTTTAACCTCGTTATTGATGAAACAGCATTTAAAGGGTATATAGAAGGGATTTAAATAAACCGCCTATTTTTCTCTCAATAACGTCATAATTAATTATGCAGTCCTTAGGACCCAAGATCTATTTCAGTGAATTTCCGTTTTCTTTTTTTCGTGCTTTCTAATTAACATCATGAGAAAAAAAATCCAAGGTGCGAGAGCGACATCAGCGCCTTGGCTCTGTGGCAGAGTATTTTGGAGGAAGAATGTCGAATTTGGTCTGTAACATCAGCGATCGACGAAGAACGTTCGTCATTGTCCGGGACGACTTCCTTGGTGTCAACATTCCCGACCTCAGTGGGATGTTCTGAGCACTGAGCGACTTCTTCCCCATGAGTACCTGAATAAAAATTTCACCCACAACTTCAGTAGTAGGACCCGTCTTCACTGTACTTTTCTTTGACCAAATCTTTTACTTTGGGCATGTCTTCATACAACCTTCGTAATTCGTGCATAAAAGAAAGGTGCGATTCTTTGTCGAGGATGGTGTTGGGCCTGAAGTTCACAAGCCGCTTCACACAGTCCGCTTCACGGCCTGAAATAAAGAGATGTAGGCCGAATTTAAAAAAAAAAAAAAAAATTGATTAACAGATTAACAACAAAGAATTTTGATCACATTTATCTTGCTCAGCAAAAAAATTCACCTAGACTAGACATCTATGATCTAGTAATAAAAAATTAGTGTATCATTGGTCAATACATGGTCATCACAAAAGTTGTGCACATAGAAAAGTAATTAAGCTAAACTATGATTAATTTCTGCAAAAAAATATTATAGTTGTAAGTATTGAGTATTAAATAGTCCTATATTTTAGGCATGTTTTTTACTATCATTTTTTGTTATAGTGAATTTACTTGACCAATATTAAAATGGTACAAAATTTCAAGCCCAGTCCTGTAAGGCATAAGCTTATGAAGGAAATGCTATATCTGATATCAGTATATGACTTCTGATTACTGATATGAAGCTTACAGTAGATACTAGATAAGGTTGTTGTCAATGCTCAAATCTCAATGGCTTCATTGTCATGTCTGTGGAAGTGTGGATATGTTCATAGGCTCATAGAGTCATAGCACATCAATAATATGGTAATGTAGAGATACAGTAATTTCATTTCACTAAAGGAAAATTAAGTACAAATCACAGTCTCACAGAAAATGTCATTTATTCTACAGCTACAAAAGAAGAGGAGGACTTTGGTCTTTGGAGTACTGTTAGTAATGGATGAGTACACTCCACATACTTCAAATGTTTTAAATCAAGTTTTATTTAAAGTGTCCCATTTCCAGAGGTAATTCATGACACTTTTTTTGCTTCTGACACCTTATGAATAATAGCATATGGAATTTTATCAGAAATGCCATACAATAGCCCTCACAGAGACCTTTAAAATGAGCCCAATCTCATTTATGAAATGTTTCATGGTAAGCAGTTATTAACAAAAAATGCTCAAAATTGTCCCTTATTACCTGCCTTTGATGGTATAGGAGATGATTCATTGGACAGGAATCTCGCAGAGCTCTTCAAAAATAGCAGGATAGCTCTAGTTATGGCCTAGAGGTAGTATATTTCATTGCAGGTTAAACTCATTACTGAAAATGCTACCAGGAATACTTGGAAGAAGTTTCCTATTATTGCCAAGTGGAAATAGGCTGGTTTTTATTTTCACTGAAAAAATGGGGACGGGTAAAATTGGCAGAATTCACGGGCATTACTATCCAATTCACAGGTGGCTCCTGCCCAATTTCTCAGTTAGGCTAAATATGATATAAAATTTGTCAGAAGTCAGAACTATAAATTGTAGCGTTCAGTAACCTCATGATCATTTTGATGACAATAAAGCTGTTTTGATTGCGCTAGAAAGATGTGGTTTAGTTTTGTTTGGGAAATAATCATTTCCATTTAAGACTGGCTACTTTGGTGCTGTGGCAAAATTATTGCCATTGACATTCGTTATTATTAAAATTCACACTAATAAAATTATTAGTACTTTTTTCAAATGTTACTGACTACAAATTATATTTACTTCTATTCATTTGCATACTACTCTTTGCAGGTTTGGTTAATTATAAGAATTTTTTACTGTTAATCTAGAAATGCCTCCCAAGAAACCTGCTGCTCCTGAGGTGAAGCCGCTGATTGGCCGTGTTGGAACAAACCTCAAAATTGGCATTGTAGGTTTGCCTAATGTAGGCAAAAGCACCTTCTTCAATGTGCTCACCAAATCTCAAGCCCAGGCTGAAAATTTCCCATTCTGCACAATTGATCCCAATGAAAGTAAGTTATTTATGATGATTTAGAGTTTATTCAAACTGTTTCTAGACTTGTAAAATCCAACTTAGAAAAAAAATCTTATGGCTCATAAAGGAACTGAGTTGAATGCTTTGATTGAAGTTGAAATTTCATGACTCCATTATGGCTGTGCTTTTTATCATGTATAAAGTACATTAATTTGACTATACTGTATTTTAACCAGACAGAAATATCAATGAGATTTATTGCTATTATTTCAAGCTATGAGAATATTTCCTTGCTCAGAAACAATAAAAATTGCAGGGAACTTCCAGTCATACTTCATAGCAAAATAGAAAATATAAACCTAGACTTTGGTGTAAATTAGATCCCAAAAGACACATCCCAACATTTATAGGTTCATGGTGGGGCTATGATATGATGCTTTGCTAAATGCTAATCACTAATTATTTACCAATCATGCTATGGTACCTTTCATCAATCATTATTATGTGAAAAAAGGAGCAGTTAAGAATAAGTTGCTGCTTAAACACAAGAATTAAAACTAATTTCATATTTTTGTCATGTAAGAATCAATATCCTGCCACTTGTAGGTTAATGTCTGTGTCTCAAACTCAACTACTTCGTTTGGTTGGCTCAAGTGATAATGTCTGTATCTGAATTATTGAATGTTTGCATGGTTCAACCAAAATCTAATATCCAAGTCATTATCTAAATTATTTTATACTTTCTGTGACTCAAATAGAAAAAAAAATTCTTTTTAAATCTTAATTAATCATTCTAATATAGCAACATTTGTAACATTCTGTCTTCATGCTTGAAGATTTCAACAACCTGTTTCAGAAAATATTTCTTGTAGAAAATTTATTACATAACAAATCATATCCTTCTTTCACAAATAGTACTTGCCATCTTATATTAAGTAACATGCAGTAGGTAAGTTAAATCTGGCTTAAAATGTTGCAACTTCTTTGTTGTGTGCAGGCCGGGTGCCGGTGCCAGATGAGCGATGGCAATTCTTGTGTGAATATCACAAGCCAGCAAGGTGATATTTTTTCTTACTACTTCATTCGTACTTTTTTAATATAAAAACATTCTCAATTAATTCCTAAAATGATGGTCATCACAAATTTTCTGAATTTTCAACATTTGTTTTTAATTCATATATACTATGTTACTTGTATTTGGAAAATTTCCATGAAAATATTGTCACACAACAATTTTAACTGCAAAATTTGTTCTTTGTTCTGTCAGTTTTATATTTTTGAAGGTTTAGTGTTTGTTTGTAGCTTGTGACTGTAAATCATGGAAGGCTGTAAAATCTAACTGAAAGATTTTGTTATTGCAAAACAAAAAGAGGAAGGCAAAATCAAAAATTGAAGTCTAATTATCAATTTAGTATTTATGGAAATTCTATTTAAAATACTGGACATTAATATTTTTCTATGCATCACAATAAAGTCGAATTGAATCTTTAAGTTGAATTTTGAATTTATGTTTAAGAATAAAGGCTAAAACTAAAAAAGTTGCATAAAACATTTTTACTGAATAGAAGTCGTAGATAAACAAAACAGAACGTTTCGGGCTATGCCCATCATCAGCTAGTAAAATACATCTGGAAGTACATGGAAATCAATTTTAGTAAATAAATTTAGAAAATGATAAGGAAAGAAAGGAAAACAAACACTATTGACCTAGAATCGAAAGAGGAAAAGAGCTGGATTGGTTATTCAATTTAGGTTTAAGTTTATGGATATAAAGAGACTCTAAAATTCGTAAATCGGTTTGGCTGCTAGCGTTACAAAGAATTTTAAATTGATTGATGGACACGGGAGGAGCAAGTAAGTTGCCGAACATGCTGGAAGAAGTTTCCGTACTGGGCGTCCACTTGCTCAGCCGCCTCATTCATCAGTCAGACTTCATACAGAACAGTGCTCACTTGCTCCTCCCGTGTCCATCAATCAATTTAAAATTCTTTGTAACGCTAGCAGTCAAACCGATTTACGAATTTTAGAGTCTCTTTATATCCATAAATCCATATAAATTGAATAACCAATCCAGCTCTTTTCCTCTTTTGATTCTAGGTCAATAGTGTTTGTTTTCCTTTCTTTCCTTATCATTTTCTAAATTTATTTACTAAAATTGATTTCCATGTATTTCCAGATGTATTTTACTAGCTGATGATGGGCATAGCCCGAAACGTTCTGTTTTGTTTATCTACAACTTCTATTCAGTAAAAATGTTTTATGCAACTTTTTTAGTTTTAGCCTTTATTCTTAAACTTAGAAGAACTCCTCGAGATATTTTGAATTTATGTATTACGTATGATACCTAGTACTATATACACTTGAAATTAATTACCATCTTTATAATATTTTGCAAGTTTGAAACTGTTTCATCATTGTTTTAACTTTTTGAAATTATTTATCTATTAATTAATAATTTCCTGTTTCAAAAACATTAAAATGTTTGTACTTTGTGTAATGAAACATTGATCAGTTTTGATATGTGTTCTTAAAATTATTGATTGCATTGTATTTGAATTGCAAATTTTATTCATAAATTAGAAGCCAAGTCTTCACTGCAAAAAATTTGCAAATATTTGAATAACCCTGATCATAAATTGCATTGCAGTATTGCATAATAATTGCAATTGCATTAATTGCAATTGCAATTTAATACTGCAATTAATGCAATTGCAATTGCTGCAATTGCATAAATTGCAGTATTGCAGCAGATTTAATTTGATGCATTTGTATGTGCAGTAAAGTTCCTGCATTCCTGAATGTGACGGACATTGCCGGCTTGGTGAAGGGAGCGTCCGAGGGCCAAGGCCTGGGCAATGCCTTCCTGTCCCACATCAAAGCTTGTGACGCTCTCTTCCATCTCATGAGTCAGTGCAGCTACTGTAACATTAGCAACAAGTATTCAGGAATATTATTAACAATAATTACTCCCTCAAAATTGCTGCTAATTGTGACTTAGGTATACTTCAATGATAATAGGTATAAGCAAGTTGGAAATGTAAGTTTCAGCGTATCACTGGTGGATTATTCTTTTCGCGACCCCTAGGACTAAGTTGTTCCTATTGAGTCATGTTTTTCAATATAATGTTAGGTCTTGTTTAGGTTTTTATGTCTGTCTTAGAATTTTGACTTATAATATGATTTTATTCATTTTTAATTTGTCGAACTGATGAAGGAGCTGGACTCCAAAACGTTTTCAATATCGTTATGGTGAATTTGCTTGGCGTTTTCTTTGCTTTTAAATTCCTGGTGGGTTACAAGAAAGTAAAGAAAGAAAAAAAGTTATTTTAAGAACTAGAGGAAACAATCTTGCCTTGTCACAATATAACAAAACATCTTCGAGTAATGATACCTTTATTTCAGGTATAATTAAGTATGAAAATAGTAATAAATAATACATGATTTAATAATAGTGTTTGTTGACAGGAGCATTTGACGATGGTGACGTGACCCACGTGGAGGGGGACGTGAACCCCGTCAGGGACTTGGAGATCATTGCTAATGAGCTCAGGCTTAAGGTGGGCTTAACTTTAATAAGTAGTCATTGAGGAAAACGATGATAAGGGACTTTGAGAAATTACTGAATAGTGTGAGTTAAATTGAGAACTCTTAGCAGACTTACAGTCAACAAAAGTGGACAATTTAATTCCCAGATACTCATTAATAGGAGTAATTTTATTTCTGTATTATTCAAGACGCATTAACTCCAGCACGTAGTATTGGTTTCCAATTTTTGCTTCAAGCTCTTTTCAAGTTGAAACAAATTTAATTCCTTACTGGTCAATGCTGTTACATTTTTTATAGTTCTCTTCCAGTTAGAAAAACTTATTATTGAAGCTGGATACTGCACCTTTGGCGCAAAATAGACAAAACTGATCTGAAGCACTAGAAATCTCTCCCTGACTACTACTACTACTTATTGAAACCCATGATCTTGCCGCAGGACATTGAGTGCGTGAATGCTGCTTATGACAAGATTGCTAAGCTGGTGGAGCGGGGCGACAAAAAGTTAAAGGCGGAGTATGACGTCCTTGTTAAGGTCAAGGATCTTCTTGAGAACAAGCAGCAGCACATCAGATTTGCTGACTGGGACGGCAAGGAGGTAAGGCTTCACTTGTCCATCACTACTGACATTTTGTTGCTTTATTTATGTAATGGATAAATAAATAATTTTTATATTCTCAGGTATTCAACTTTGCAACTTTTGTCTTCACTATTTTTTTATCCTGTTAGCCATCTTCTTAAAATACATTTATTTCATCTATTTTTTTACTGAACATTTACGTCATCTCACGCAATTAGTTACTTTTGAACAAATAACTTGTGCACAAATAACTTGTGCACAAATAACTTGTGCACAAATAACTTGTGCACAAATAACTTGTGTTTGTTAATTAAGAAAATTTTATGTTTGTGCAGATCATCGAGCTGAACAAGCACCTGCTGATCACCAGCAAGCCCCTGATATACCTGATCAACCTCTCCGAGAAGGACTACATCAGGAAGAAGAACAAGTGGTCCGTAATGATTAAAGTGATGCTTGTACCTGATAGCGTTCAATGTGTAGTGTGATGCTTGTACCTGATGTGTTCAAGGTGTAGTGTGATGCTTGCACCTGATAGCGTTCAAGGTGTAGTGTGATGCTTGTACCTGATAGCGTTCAAAGTGTAGTGCAATGGTAGCGTTCACCAGATGGCATTCAAGGTGTAGTGTGATGCTTGCACCAGATAGTGTTCATTTTTTGCGCATTTCATTTCAAAGACGCTGCCTCAAAAACTAATAATTTACCTCCTGTATTCATCCAGGAGTGAATTTATTAGTCCTATTTTACCAATAACTTTTAATAAATTAGAAAATATTTATAAACTAGACCTAATAATGAGGAAAGAGAAGAATTCTGACACGACAAATAATACTAACATGACCCATTACTTACTGAGTTATTTGAATGAATAACATTGAGCATTTATTCTTCAATTTAATCATGAAAAGACTCGTGTAATCATGGAAGAGCCTCGCTCCCCTATTTTCCTAGTCTGTAGAAGCGCACATAACAACTTTTAACATAACTCTTAACATAACAACTTTTAACATAACGACTCTTACCGTTCAGGTTGCCCAAGATCAAGGAGTGGGTGGACGCCAACGACCCTGGGGCTCTGATCATCCCCTTCTCAGGGGTCCTGGAGAACAAACTCCTCGAGATGGGGGAGGAGGAACGGGCTGAATACTGCAAGGCCAACAACTGTACTAGGTACTTTTGACTGAAGATGTCCATGAACTGTGCTAGGTACTTTTGGCTGAACTGTGCTAGGTAATTTGGCCTAAACTAGATCAAATTACGTTTCTGTTGTTGTTCTCATCACACACTGTGTCATCCTTGGGGCTAAGTCCCCGAACAATTGCTATTGTTATCGAGTGCGTGCTGTCCTGACTGGGACCATTTAACGTATCCAAACGCGGGTTCTTGAGTGTAATATTGTATTCACCATTCAAGGTGCATTTGACAAAGTCTTCCCTATGAGTTATGAGTAACGTATTACGTGCAACTTTGTTACGCCTCTCCACGTGCATATTACTTAAGATATTATTAGTTATTTAACCTCTACCGCTGTGTGCCACTCTCCGGGAACACAACGCTCAACTTGAATTATATGTAAACTATTGAGTGTAGCAACCTGAGGACGTTTGTACGCAACAGAGAACATTTTAAAGTTGTCGTACGTGGCGGCAAATTATACGTAAACTATTGAGTGTAGCAACCTGAGGACGTTTGTACGCAACAGAGAACATTTTAAAGTTGTCGCACGTGGTGGCAAATTATATGTAAACTATTGAGTGTAGCAACCTGAGGACGTTTGTACGCAACAGAGAACATTTTAAAGTTGTCGTACGTGGCGGCAACCATCAGTGCAAGTTATTTTGCGCTCACTAGAACGTATCTTTTTTGGGAAGTAGGCTTGTGACAATATTGCTCCAGTTACTCATGTCAGGCGATGGAGGGTTAAATGACACTAGAGTTTATTTTTACCCCCTCAGCGCCCTGGACAAGATCATCACGCAGGGCTACAAGGCCCTGCAGCTCGAGTATTACTTCACGTGCGGCCCTGACGAAGTCAAGGCCTGGACCATACAGAAGGGCACGAAGGCTCCTCAAGCCGCGGGCAAGATCCACACGGACTTCGAGAAGGGCTTCGTTATGGCCGAAGTCATGAAGTTCTCAGACTTTAAGGAGGAAGGAAGCGAGGCGGCTGTCAAGGTGACGTATTTCTATTTCATTTCCTACATCCATACTTTTGTGCCCGCGAGACTCGGGTATTCTTATTGATTATCTAACCTTTTACTGGTACAGCAGATATTTACGGTTCTATGATTTTTATTCATTTCTATTTTATGTATATTTTCTTAAGTTTTGGGCCAGCTACTACATTTATATGAGGATTTCCGCGTAGGTACTCCTAACCGAGTAGTCTTGGCTCATCCATCTATGTGAATAATTTTAATCTCGCTAGCTTTTCTTTCATTCAGCTTATAGATTGTTAGTAACTACTTGAACGTTTTTTTGCGTACCGCTGTCAAGCAAACGCCTTTTATATATCAATAGAACAGCCCGGGGATCTTCAATTCCTGCAATTTTTAAATATCGTGGTCACGAATCCGGCTATCAAGGAGAAATGAATGCAAGCTGATAAAAGGAAGACATACCCAAGTAATGAGAACAGAACATCTAATTGACTCGCGTTCCTAACTATGGAAAAACAATTTGGCATTTTTCAATCAAAGCTATAAATTTGAAATTGACTTTAAAATTTTTAGGCAATGCTTTGCTCCCAGTCATGCAATGCCTTGCTATTCTCCCACTAAGAATAAATTTTTTTGTCCTGATGATATCTTGACACGATTACTATCCTGGACAAACAAACACTTCAACGAATTTATACCAGATATAACTTTTAGGACCTGACGCACTTCACTTACTTCCCAGGTATCACTTACTTCTAGGATCTTACTTCCCAGCTACCACTTCCTCCGCTCCATCGATATTTTTCACTGCAATATTTCAACTATTGCAGTGCAACTGACTAAACTATTTTTCAACTGACAATATTTGTCGCCTTCCCCCAGGCGGCGGGTAAGTACCACCAGCGGGGACGCAACTACACCGTGGAAGACGGGGACATTATTTTCTTCAAGTTCAACGCTGCGGGACTCAAGAAGAAATAAATATAGAGAAGCTATCAAGGAGAAATGAATGCAAGCTGATAAAAGGAAGACATACCCAAGTAATGAGAACAGAACATCTAATTGACTCGCGTTCCTAACTATGGAAAAACAATTTGGCATTTTTCAATCAAAGCTATAAATTTGAAATTGACTTTAAAATTTTTAGGCAATGCTTTGCTCCCAGTCATGCAATGCCTTGCGATTCTCCCACTAAGAATAAATTTTCATGTCCTGATGATATCTCGACACGATTACTATACAGGATCAACCACACACTTCAACAAATGTATACCAGATATAAATTCCAGGACCTGGCGCACTTTCACTTCCCAGCTATCACTTCCTCCGCTCCATTGATATTTTTCACTGCAATATAACACGCCTGACGATCTTTGTCGCCTTTTCCCAGGCGGCGGGGAAGTACCACCAGCGGGGACGCAACTACACCGTGGAAGACGGGGACATTATTTTCTTCAAGTTCAACGCTGCGGGACTCAAGAAGAAATAAATATAGAGATTTCAATACCAGCGTGCAGTGAATACGTGCGGTTTTATTTGCCTAATTCTTCAGCCGGCGTTTCGTTGAACGCCGAGGGACTTCGGTATAAAATTTGATATCGGATTACGATAGCACAGGAATTTATACTAAAGCAAATGTCCTTGGCTAGTAGGAGTAAGACACGTAACATATGGAGAAAACATAGCCGCTGTAATGGTGGCTAAAAAAACGACGTTATAAACGGCATAGAAGTTGTAATGGAGGCTCACGAATGAACTAGTGGCACTGAACACAATAGTCTATTGTTCCTTGCCTGATGAACCTGAATTCAAAATATGATTGCGCATTGCATATTCGTCAATAAAGTATCGCCCTGTACAGGTGTGATCACATTTATTTAAACAAAAATTTCCTTAAAGACCACCGCCAATTAATGGATTTTTATGGCAGAAATTTTGCGACCCAACATGAGATTGCATTGCCTTATACTCGCGAGTTATACACGAAGCTTAACACTCAGCAAACCATTTAATAATAAAGAATTTGTTATTTAACAAGTTTTCTTAATAATTTCGAGATTTTCCTTCATATATAAATTTAACGCGATGATAGATATCTGTATATAATATATTCACAGCAATAAGATATTCCAAGATCTTATTAATTGACTTATAAATAACATTCAAGTGCATTTATTCCAAGCGGATAACATTCACCCTTGCCACATCCAATCAAAAAATGTTGACGTGGAGACACAAAACATCGCAATGTTACTTGCATAATTAAGGTGATGAAGGTAGCCTTGGTAGTGCTGATGCTGGACATGCCTAACGTATGTTCATAGTTACAGCCCATAAAATGAATTATTATGCATGCGTGCATTTCAAACAATAGTGCGAGAAAGCTCAGGTAAGAATAGCTAATAGAATGCATCGGCAATGTTAAAAGTGCTCCCATAAAATGTTGGTAGAGTTAGAGCGTGAATGGCACCTACAATTGAGGTGGACATATGAATAGTTATGAATAACTAGATGAATGAATTCGCTGTGCAGGAAAGTCTGGTTAAAGAGAATAAATTTCGTAGTGATTTAATCATTTTAAGATAATCTATCTTAATGCTCGTGATTGCATCAATGTTATTACTCTAAGATTCCATGTACTTCCTACATGTGCAGCGATCACTAGTAAAGTTCACACTCCAGACAATAATAAGCTTAGCAATAATGCCTTATTATATGGCGTACACAGTGTTCAATACTGGGCATAGTTTCATTAGTTACGAGGCGGCCGCTCAATGATCCTTTCGCTCAAACATTTTGATCCTCAATGTCTAGTCTGGGAAACTTTTAGTCCCCCCTCTCCGTAATCATTTTTAATGGTTAGGCAGCTCTTTACCCTTCAATTTACCATCTTCAAACATAGCTCGATCCCTCCAAACTTTCACTTCTAGTTCCCTCCTAGTACACCTACGAGCGACAAATGGTTCATGCACTGCTATTCCGACCATGGCTATAATTAAACACATATAAAATAAAGAATACAATGAATATAATTCGCAATAAATATGTCGCACATCATTCCGGTAATGCGTGAATGACACTCTAGACTGTAGCCCCAATTCCGGTAGGAATAGCATTGGCACAAGCCCGCATCTTATCACACACTTTAAATACTTATTAATACGACTTAAAATAAGTCCACATCGAGTTCCGTATAAACAAAACAAGTTTTGAACACAATGAGCAATATAAGTGCGACCTATTATAACGTACATCAAAATCCTGCGACAGGCGGAAGTGACATCAGGAAGTGCAGGCGACAGACGAAAAGAGAGCACAATAAAAAAGAAAATTTTATTCAGTCCTGTCATAAAGAGGAAGTAAAAGTATAGAAGACATCTATGCGGCAAAAAAGAATAGACATTTTTTCACTAAACTTGATTCCGTTAGAAAAGAAATGATGGAGCCGATACGAGGGGGAAAGTCTTTTAGAAGCAAAAATAAATGATCTTTATTTACAGTGTCACAAGAAGACACCAAATTGTGTCATACATCAGGTGAGTGACACACGTAAACGCCTCACAAACCATCACGAATAAATGTGTCAGGAACAGACACATGCGTGAATGTGTCACAGGTGTAAGTGTGTCAGGATTGACACATCAGCCGTTAATAACTTAGGTGGGATCTTATGGGGCGCAATACGAGCCTTGATTCCACTGGTGTAGCAGCTGACGCTGGTGTAGCATCAGCAACAGATGCAGCAGCTGACACTGGTGTAGCACCAGCAACAGATGCAGCAGCTGACGCTGGTGTAGCACCAGCAGCAGGTGTAGCATCAGCAACAGATGTAGCAACTGACACTGGTGTAGCACCAGCAACAGATGTAGCAGCTGAAACTGGTGTAGCATCAGCAACAGATGTAGCAGCTGAAACTGGTGTAGCATCAGCAACAGATGTAGCAGCTGAAATTGATTCCGTTAGAAAAGAAATGATGGAGCCGATACGAGGGGGAAAGTCTTTTAGAAGCAAAAATAAATGATCTTTATTTACAGTGTCACAAGAAATTGTGTCATACATCAGGTGTGTCATACATACATCCAAATTGTGTCATACATCAGGTGTGTGACACACGTAAACGCCTCACAAATTATCACGAACAAATGTGTCAGGAACAGACACGTGCACGAATGTGTCAGGAACAGACACCTGCACGAATGTGTCAGGAACAGACACATGCACGAATGTGTCACAGGTGTAAGTGTGTCAGGATTGACACATCAGCCGTTAATAACTTAGGTGGGATCTTATGGGGGCGAAATACGAGGCTTTATTCCACTGGTGTAGCATCAGCAGCAGGTGTAGCAGCTGACGCTGATGTAGCACCAGCAACAGATGCTGCAGCTGACGCTGGTGTAGCACCAGCAGCAGGTGTAGCAGCTGACGCTGGTGTAGCACCAGCAGCAGGTGTAGCAGCTGACACTGGTGTAGCATCAGCAGCAGATGTACCAGCTGACACTGGTGTAGCAGCTGACGCAGGTGTAGCATCAGCAGGTTCAGAGGCTGTCGCCCCTATGGCCCGGCACGGCCACCTTCGTGTTGACGAGATGTCCCGCCGACACGCCCAGGTCGCCGTCCGTCAGATGACTCGTCGCCTGCAACAACGTAAGCTTCGTCACTACAACTACTAAGAACTTATAAAATTACGTATCAATTAACTGCATCGCTTGTTTGTAACGTAACTATTTTACACTGGGACAAATGAGTGAGACATTTCTAAAATATCGATGCATATTTTGCCTTTGTGTGGATCATACTGAAGTAGTTTTGCCAGGCAACAAGGCGTATCAGTACTACGTCCGCTCTATGCTATATAGTGTTGTGGGTAAGAAAGTGGGTCACAATTTGGACACTGCGATTCATTCGTTCATACAGTACCCGTCCAACAAGTGTATTACATCAACCTCGCCTGCATCACTTAGTATACATTATCGTCCATCCATGCCATCATCATCGTCCACAGGTGATCGAGGTTGTTGAGAAAATAGTGGCCGCGGAGCTTGTCCAGTATTTGGAAGAGACTGAACTGTATCATAACGGACAACATGGTTTCCGGCGTGAAAAAATCATTCCTGATAGTCACAGTTACAGGAACACCATCACCGCCTTATGGCTCTACTGGAGGAGGGAGCTGGCATGGATGTAGTACATCTGGATTTTGCTAAGGCTTTTGATAAAGTTGACCATGGGGTGTTCTTTAGAAAGCTGAGGCTGTTGGGGGTAGGAGGAAGCCTGTTAAGGTGGATCCACAACTTCCTTACAGGTAGAGTACAAGCTGTCGCAGTTGGAAACTCGAAATCGAGAGAAGCGAAGGTGAAAAGCGGAGTGCCACAGGGCTCAGTGCTTGGACCGATCCTCTTTCTCATCCACATTGCCAATATTGACTTAGAACTCACCCACGCATCTACATCGTCATTTGCGGACGATTCAAGAGTGCTGATGAAGATCACAGATGGCCTAGACTGCGAGAGGTTACAGGATGATTTGTCGACAATCTACGATTGGGCCCTAGTGAATAATAACGGCACCAAATTCGAAGTGATGAGATACAGAGTCCGCACAGATATCGGGATGCCACATCGCTACCTGACATCAAAAGGCACAGGAATTGAGGAGAAGCAACTAGTTCGAGATCTCGGAGTGTTGAGTACTGAAGTCACGTTCGATGACAACACCGAGGAAATAGTCACGCGAAGCAGGCAACGGATGGGGTGGATATGGCGGACATTTCGAACAAGAGAAGCAGCACCAATTAATGATTACACTCTCCAGAGCCTGTGTGTTCCCCAATCTTGAGTATTGCTGCCAACTTTGGGCGCCGCTCAAAGCGAGCGCGGTGCGGAAACTGGAGTCAATCCAGCGGATCTTCACGAAAGGCGGCGCATCAGCGTGACCGTGGACTAGGAAGTCCTAAACTCGTCAGAAGGTCATCATCGTCAACAAACGCCATCATCACCGTCCAGCCATGTCATCATCATCATCGTCCACCTCTTCGGTTATGGTGCACAGCTCGTACTTACAGCAGCGTGCACAGCAGCAGGCCATGCAGACGGCGCATGCAGGGTGAATTGGTGTGGCGTATGAAGATGAAGAAATTAAAATGAAAGAGAAAGAAGAAAAGGAAATAGAGTAACAAATGAGCAAGAGTGAGAAGGAAGGTAGAGGACGCGGAGAAAGAAGGTACATAGATGAGGGAGAAAGCAAAGCTTCAGAGAAGAGAGAAGACAAGAAGGTTAGGAGAAGTAGGACGAAAGATACAATAGAACAGGAAGAGATGAACGGATAGGGCAGCGTGGGAAATAAAATATAAATGATGTAGAGAAAATCCATAAAATGGGGAGGGGCTTGCAGGGCATGACGCTTCAGTAGGATGCCAAGGCATAAAAGGTAAGCGAGGAGGCAGCGCCCAATACTGAACTACAGAGCTGAGCCAACACGGGACAAAACATTATGCTCAATAACTAAAAATAAATAAATTCATTTAATATAATGGTTAGCGATTTCCATACAAATATATTCTATATAATACATAAATATAAACAATTCCAACATTTGTATATCACAGAACGAAGCATAAACCTGCCTAAATATTCTGTAGTGGAAGAACACATTAACTAATTAATGAGAAACCAACGTGACTGAATCAGTGAGAACACCAACGTGACTGAGTCAGTGAGAACACCAACGTGACTGAGTCAGTGAGAACACCAACGCGTCTGAGTCAGTGAGAACACCAACGTGACTGAGTCAGTCAGTTTCAGCTAAACAAAAATACGACACAATCTCACCTGTAAATATGCAATCAAATTCCACAATATTGCATATTAATTGCACAATAAATTATTATTCCACAAGATTACATAATAATTACAAAATATATTATTATTATAAAATTTGATGAGAGAACACATAAAGCAAAGCGAGGCCAGGGGCGTTATTAGGCCATCTTAAGGCAGCTAATTAGTCATACTTTCAATTATTATTTTTATCTGTAAGCAAATGCCGACAGATTCCATATACTGTCTCCTGAACATATGTACAAATAATTAATTATAATTATATATGCAGTCATTATTAACTTGAATGTGATTATAAATGTTAGGGGTTAGCGCCTCTATGCCAATGACGCCCCGAGCACGACTGTACAACAGATTAACAATTCATGGTAGACAATAAAAGTGCCCGCGAAATTAATCATTTTTGCGATAAAATAAGCGTTCTCACTCAAATCTGCTCAATTCAGCGACATTTTGTGAGAGAATAGATTATTATTTGATTACCAGATCAAGGAATTCTGGGTAATAATGATAGGTAATTAGGAAATTAAGATATATGCCCACAAGCAGGTACATGAGTCAACTGAATGAGTAAAGGAGAGAGAGTTGACAGAGATGGTGAGTTAGTGACAGAGATGATGAGTTAGTGACAGAGATGGTGAGTTAGTGACAGAGATGGTGAGTTAGTGACAGAGATGGTGAGTTAGTGACAGAGATGATGAGTTAGTGACAGAGATGGTGAGTTAGTGAC